CAGAATGGGGTGGGGCCTGTTTGGGGCGGGGCGTGGCCTGTTAAAGGGGCGTGGCCTGTTCTGGGGGCGGGGCCTCGTGACAGTCGGGGGACAGGTTCTCACAGAACTCTGGGGACACCGGAAATGACGTCACACAGGGGGCGGGGCCAGCAGAATGGGGTGGGGCCTGTTTGGGGCGGGGCGTGGCCTGTCAAAGGGGCGTGGCCGGTTTTGGGGGCGGGGCCTCCTGACAATCCAGGGGCAGGTTCTTGCAGAACTCTGGGAACAGGAAATGACGTCACACAGGGGGCGGGGCCAGCAGAATGGTGGCTGGTCTGGGATGGGCGTGGTCAGATCAGGAAGAGGTGGGGCCAATTTGGGGGGGAGTGACCATCTTTGGGAAGGGGGCGTGTCCAGTTTTGAGGGGCGTGTCCAGCTTTGGGAAGGGGGCGTGTCCATCCCAGGAAAAAAATAGGCGTGGCCATCCCTTTTTGGGGGCATGGCCAATTTAGAGCCATAGAAGGCTCGGGGGGGCGGGGCTTTTTTATGGGGTGTGGCCTGTTGCAGGGGCGTGGCTTATCCCGGGGGGGCGTGGCCAGCTGACCTCTGACCTTGTGATAAATCCGCCAATTTAAAGGGGCGGGGCCAATTTAAATGCACAAAAGGCTCTGGGAGGGGCGGGGGTTTTTTTAGTGGGCGTGTCCTATCCCGAGGGGGGCGTGGCTCCTCCCGGGGGGCGTGGCCATCTGACCTTTGACCTCACACAATGCACCCCAATTTAAAGGGGCGGGGCCAATTTACAGCCATAGAATGCTCTGGTAGGGGCGGGGTTTTTTTTAGTGGGCGTGTCCCTTGCCGAGGGGGGCGTGGCTCGTCCCGGGGGGCGTGGCCAGCTGACCTTTGACCTTGTGATAAATCTGCCAATTTAAAGGGGCGGGGCCAATTTAGAGCCATAGAATGCTCTATGAGGGGCGGGGTTTCTTTTAGTGGGCGTGTCCTATCCCGAGGGGGGCGTGGCTCGTCCCGGGGGGCGTGGCCAGTTGACCTCTGACCTTGTGATAAATCCGCCAATTTAAAGGGGCGGGGCCAATTTAAAGGCACAGAAGGCTCTATGAGGGGCGGGGTTTTTTCCAAGTGGGCGTGTCCCTTCCCGAGGGGGGCGTGGCTCTTCCCGGGGGGCGTGGCCAGCTGACCTCACACAATGCACCCCAATTTAAAGGGGCGGGGCCAATTTAAAGGCATAAAAGGCTCTGGGAGGGGCGGGGCTTTTTTATGGGGTGTGGCCTGTTGCAGGGGCGTGGCTTATCCCGGGGGGGCGTGGCCAGCTGACCTTTGACCTTGTGATAAATCCGCCACTTTAAAGGGGCGGGGCCATTTTAAAGGCACAGACTGCTCTGGGAGGGGNTGACCTTGTGCGAGGCCGCCGCCCGCACCTCGGCCTCGCAGTCCTTCATCAGGCTCTGGAAGGCGCCCACCAGGTCCGTCTTGGTGATCTCGGGCCCAACGGCGCGCTGGAGCTGCGGGGGAGGGGACAGCGGGGTCACCTGGGTCACCTGGGGTCACCTGGGATCACCTGAGTGCGCCCAGGTGACCCAAAAATCCCAAAATGGACCCAAAAATGACAAAAAACCACAAAAAAATGACAAAAAAATGACAAAAAAATGACCCAGAATGACCCAGAGTGACCAACAGTGCGCTGGAGCTGCGGGGGAGGGGACAGCGGGGTCACCTGGGGTCACCTGGGGTCACCTGGGATCACCTGAGCGTGCCCAGGTAACCCAAAAAACCCCAAAATGGACCCAAAAATGACAAAAAATGACAAAAAATGACAAAAAATGACCCAGAATGACCCACAGTGCGCTGGAGCTGCGGGGGAGGGGACAGCGGGGTCACCTGGGCTCACCTGGGCTCACCTGGGTCACCTGGGGTCACCTGGGGTCACCCGAGTCCGCCCAGGTAACCCAAAAATCCCCAAAATGGACCCAAAAACAACAAAAAATGACAGAAAAATAACAGAAAAATGACCCAGAGTGACCCACAGTGCGCTGGAGCTGCGGGGGAGGGGACAGCGGGGTCACCTGGGGTCACCCGAGTGCGTCCAGGTGACCCAAAAAACCCCAAAATGGACCCAAAATGGACCCAAAAATGACAAAAAATGACAAAAAAATGTCAAAAAAATGACCCAGAATGACCCAGAGTGCACTGGAGCTGCGGGGGAGGGGACAGCGGGGTCACCTGGGGTCACCTGGGGTCACCTGGGGTCACCTGGGGTCACCTGGGATCACCTGGGGTCACCTGAGTGCGCCCAGGTGACCCAAAAAACGCCAACATGGACCCAAAAACGACAAAAAACGACAAAAAAAATGACAAAAAATGACCCAGAGTGACCCACAGTGCGCTGGAGCTGCGGGGGAGGGGACAGCGGGGTCACCTGGGCTCACCTGGGGTCACCTGGGCTCACCTGGGGTCACCCGAGTGCGCCCAGGTAACCCAAAAAACCCCAAAATGGACCCAAAAATGACAAAAAAAACGAGAAAAAATGACCCCGAATGACCCAGAGTGCGCTGGAGCTGCGGGGGAGGGGACAGTGGGGTCACCTGGGGTCACCTGGGCTCACCTGGGGTCACCTGGGGTCACCTGGGGTCACCTGGGATCACCCGAGTGCGCCCAGGTGACCCAAAAAGGACCCAAAAATGACAAAAAATGACAAAAAAATGACAAAAAAATGACCCAGAGTGACCCACAGTGCGCTGGAGCTGCAGGGGAGGGGACAGCGGGGTCACCTGGGGTCACCTGGGGTCACCTGAGTGTGCCCAGGTAACCCAAAAATCCCCAAATGGACCCAAAAATGACAAAAAATGACA